AAAAAAAAAAAGAATCCAGTGTAGTATATTTAAAATGGAGTTAGGGCCAACCAGGAATACAATGTCCAGAAAAACTATCTTTCAACAATAAAGACCACAAAAGGTATTCCCAGACTAAGAGAATTTGTTGCTAGCAGACTCATCTATCAAAAGAGACTTTGAGGAAAAAAAAAAAAAAAAAGACAAGCATGGTACACACACCTGTAATTCTAGCACTGGGGAGGCTGAAACAAAATGATCATGAGTTCAAGACCAGCTTGGACACAAAACAAGACTGTCTCAGAAGTCAGAAAAAGGAGGGAAGATGTAAATGTGAATATACTACAAATGTAATTTCCCTAAATTCTTATCCAAATGTTTAAAACAGTGTTTAGGGTCAGCAAGACAGCTCAGCAGACTAAAGCGCCTGCTTAGGCAAGCACAAGGTTCAGAGTTTAATCCCTAGCACCATGCCAAAAAAAAAAAAGATATAACCTACACAACAATAACAGCAAAAGGGAGAGAGAATGGAAAGAAGTCACACTGGAATATCATTAGAATCAGAATAATCCTGCTGTGACGTCAAAATTTTTAAATTAAAGGCTTATTATAACTGTATGCTCAAATTTGTATAATATTAAGAAAAAACAGTACACTAAGACATATCTATTTACCAGAAGAAAATAAAAGACATAAAACATGAGACACACAGAAAATAATAAGATAGCAGAAATAACTCTGAGCCAGGTATGATGATAAACACCTATAATTCCAGCACTCAGAAGACTGAGGCAGGAGGATCACTGGGCGCTTGAGACCACTCTGGGCTACAAAGTGAGGTCAAGGCCAGCCAGAGCTGTGCAGCAAGACCCTATCTCAAAAAGAAAAAGAAAAGAAACAACTCTAGCCATACTAAAAAGTGCATTAATGTATGTCAATTAAATATGCAAATCAAAAGCAAAACCTAAGGCTGGATTACAAAACAACAACAACCACAAGATCCAACTATATCTTGTTCAGACAAGATACACTATGATTCAAAGAAACAAGCAGGTTGAAAGTAAAAAAATAGAAAAAGATATACCAGAAAGTAATTATAAGCTACATAGAATAGCTATAGTAATAAGCAGCAAAATGTATTGAAGAACAAAATATTACTGGAGACAAAAACAATCATAATGTGAAAAAGATTTATGAAGAAGATATAACAATCATCAACATGCATGCACCCAATAACAGAGTCCGAAAATAAATGAAAAAAATACAGAAATAGACTAGTCACCAATACTAATCAAACATCTCAGTAACTGCTAGAATAAAGAGAAAACTGAAAATAGTGTCAAAGAACTGCACACTATTATCAAGCAACCTGAGCTAACCGACGTGTACAGAATGAATACTCAATAACCGGTAACACATGCTAGGCCACAAAACAAGTCACAGAACAAGTCCTAATAAGTATAAACTAATCAAAACCACATAAATTATATTCAATAACGATAACAAACCAAAAATCAATAACAAAAGAAATTTTGGAAAAATCCACAAATCATTGAAAATTAAAGAACACATTAATACATGAATCAAAGAACAAGCTACAAAATAGAAACTACTTCAAGCTGAAGGAAAATGAAAGCAACAGATCAATATATATGAGATGCAAAAGCAGTGTTCAAAGGAACACAAATGTCAGCTTTAAACACCTACATTGAAAAGATGATCTCAAATCAACAACCTAAGCTTCCACCTCTTAAGATGAAATTTAAACAATAAAGAACAGACTATACAAAGACAGGCAGGAAAAGAAACCAGTAAAACAAAAGAGGGAAAAACTACATAGAAGATGAAATAAAAACTCAATCCTTTGAAAATATAACAAAATCAACAAGCCATTAGCTAGCCTGACCAAGGGAAAGAAAAGATAGCACAGTCAATATAATGGGCATATTCAAATTTAAGTTAACAATTTCTCATTTTGCCTTCATTTTCAAAAGCTTTTCACTAGGTACAGAATTCTCAAAAGGCAGACTTTTTCCCCTTCCCCTGCATTACATGGAGTTTATATTCATCCTGAAATGATTCCTCTTATTTGTGCAGTTTCCAACAAGAAACCTGATGTTATTTACTTCATGTACATAAGTGTCTTGCATCATATTTCTACTGTACAGTGCTATTTTGGATAGTTATTGAAGTCATATAACTCTGAAGTCACCTAAGGAAATTCAGTGAGGAGTCTAAAAAGCTTGAAGACAAAGTCTCAATGAACTTTAGTACTTAAAGACCAAGGGAAGAAAGAAGATGGCAAAGCAAACTCCAACATTTCAGCCTAAGAATTAGAAAACCAAGAATGTATGTATGGGGTCACTAAAATAACCAGTGTTATAGGAAGTAGAGTTTGCACAAAACAGTCCCTATGCTTTGTGGCTATGCGAGTTAACACATGAACATTAAGGATGAATAACAACAACAACCAAAAAAAAAAAAAAAAAATGCTGAAGATAAAGGCCTCGTAACAATGAACTCATGATGGTTACCATGGCTGGTTTCTCAAAACACACCTGCACAGATGTCATGGAACTCAACTGACCTGGCATGCTCAGTGACACTACAAACCTTCTACAATCTCTTTCCTGTATCACTAGATCATTTCATGTAAAAGCACTATTACTACCTATCCCATATGTGCCTCTTGCTCTTTATTCCTTATTTCCTATTATTCCTTCCAATCTGATTTCCTATTGCCCAGGTAAAGATGGGCCTTTTATCAGCAACATAGATCAGGGCATTATTTGCTCCCAAAATATTAAACCAATCAACTACAATAAAAATGTCCAATTTAGGATTCTTCGTAATCTCTGCTTTTACTTCACGCACATATTCAATGTGTGTTCTCCACTGACCTACAAGGTACTTTTGTAGAGGGAATAGTTATCTCTGGCCTGGACTGATTAAAGAAAGATTAACTATTTTTTGGCATGACTTTACTATATTTGATGGCTTTTCTCATACACTTTAATAAATTAATCAGAGAATGATCAATCACACCAAACACAATGCAAAATCAATTTTAAGAAATGACAGAAAATAAAGTTGGAACTGCTAGAAGGTGAGAAAATTTCCTGCAAACATGAAAAAAGCAGCAATGTTATCAATCACTACATCAGGAAGCCCTTAGATTAGTTTTGAATGTATTAAGCACCATATTTCAAAGCCCTGTAATAAAATGATCAAAAAGGCAGAGTGTGCCTCTTTCCCATCTTGCAAGATAACAGGTAAAAAAAACTGAGAAGCCAGACACTAAAGAGAAGAAACCTGAAGTCAAGAAGGCTGCTGCCAGTGGTACTGGTAAAAAGGGTAAGGTGAAGGCAAAAAAGTCCAAGAAGGGGCAGCCCCATTGCAGCCAAAATCCTGTCCTGATTAGAGGAATTGATAGATACCCCCGATCGCTATGTATTCCAGAAGGGCTTTGTATAAGAGAAAGTACACAGCTGCTAAATCAAAGTTTAAGAAGAAAAAGAAGGAGAAAGTTCTTGCTATGATCACAAAACCAGTTGGTGGGGACAAGAATGGAGGTACCCAGGTGGTTAAGCTTCGAATAATGCCTAGATACTACCCTACTGAAGATGTGTCCCAAAAGCTCTTGAGCCACTGCAAGAAACCCTTCAGTCAGCATGTGCAGAAACTTCCAGCTAGCATCCCTCCCGGCACCATCTTGATCATTTTCACCGGGTGTCACAGAGGCAAGAGTGGTCTTCCTGAAGCAGTTGGCCAGTGGCTTGCTCCTTGTGACTGGGCCTCTTAGCCTTAATCGTGTTCCTCTATGCAGAACACACCAGAAATTTGTCAGTGCCACCTCTACAAAAATTGATATCAGCAAAGTGAAAACTCCCAAACACCTCACTGATGCTTACTTCAAGAAGCAGCTGTGGAAACCCAGACACCAGGAGGGTGAGATCTTCGACATCAAGAAAGAGAGATACCAGATTTCAGAGCAGCGCAAGGTGGATCAGGAAGTGGTGGACTCAGATTTTAGCAAAAAATCAAAGCTATTCCTCAGCTTTGGGGCTGAGATCTGTTTTTGCTCTGACAAATGGAATTTATCCTCATAAATTAGTGTTCTAAATTTCTTACTAAGAACCTAGTTAAATAACTAATATTTTTTTTAAAAAAAGTGGTTTGGCTATAAAGAAATCCTCAACATATTTCAAATAAGTAAAATAACTCAGACTAAATTCTTTAAACATCATGGAATTAAGCCTAGAAATCAGTAACAAAGGATAATGAGGAAAACTACAACTGCCAGAAAATTAAAAATGTCCTAAGTAATTCACAGGTGCAGCAGGTAGGGTAATGAATGAATCCTTAAAGATGTCAACAGCCTATGGCTACAGTCTGTGAAATATGTTGCTTTACTTGGTTAAAGAAATTTTACAAATATGATTAAGATTAAGATCTTGGCATAGGGCAGTTATCCTGGATTGTTCACGTGGACCCAACCAAATCACTGCAGTCCTTAAAATCAGATAACCTTTCTTGAAAGGGAAGTATGAGGTCAGAGTGAGATGTAACTATGGAAGACCAACAAGAGGGATGCAAGACTGCCAGCTCTGAAGATGGAGGAAGAGGACAACCAGAAGCCAGAGGCCTGGACAGGCCTCTAGAAGTAGAGAAACAGATTCTCCATGAGTCTCCAAAAAAGACAGTCCTGCTCACACCCGAAGTTTAGCCCAGTGAGACTTGTGTCAAATTTCTAACCCCTAACCATAAAATAATAAATTTGCGTTGCAAGTCTTCATGGTGATTTTTATAGTAGCGAAAGAAAATAGAATGAGATTTTAAAGGGAGAAAATATTTGAACTGGTAATAAATAAAATATATCAAAGCCTATGGAATATAGCTAAAGAAGCACTTAGAAAGTTTATAATCCTAAATGTATATAGAAAAAAAGGATAAAACTCAACTACGTAAGCTTCTAGCTCAAAAATAAAATGTCCATCCTTAAAAAGAAAAACAAAGGAAAAGATCATAAAATAAAAAACACACAATAGTCAAAAAGGAGTCAGTCAAGAGTTGATTCTTCTGGTCGGGGCACAGCTCAGCAGCACAGTGCTTACATGGCAAGTGCAAGGTCTTGAGTTGGATTCTAAGTGCAAAGAAAAGGGCTGATTCTTTTAAGATTAATCAAGCTGATAAATCCCTCATATGATTAAAATTAAAAGAAAAATACAACCAATAGCAAAAAAAGACCCTACAGATGTCTAATCATACTACAATTAACAAATGTGACCATTTGTGTGAAACAAATTCCTTAGAGGATATAATACAGCAACACTGACAAAAAGAGAAATATATATCATTTTAATAGATATTCAATTTTAACAGTTGGTTTTCTCATTTAAAAAAGTGAACCCACAATTAGAATGTTTCCCATACAATTCCTCTCAAATTTGTCAAGTGTAATAACTGTCTATAACTATTTAGAAGACTAATCCTATTTCCTGGTTAGGCAAACTATGAGATAAAGGTAATGATGTCCATAATTGACTTTTAAACACAGTGAATATAAATACATTTGAAAAATACACATATTCAAAATTATGCATAAAGATTGACAATTGAATGCAATGATGTATAATAACAACAATATATATTACAATTCAATAAAGTTTTTAAACATTCCAAAAATCCATGTGGACTGTCAGGCCTGGAGGATAGCGGTAGTCAACCAAATTCAAATCTCCCCACACAACTTTTCCAAAAAAAAAATCAAGAAAACCAGTAAATCCCCACGTGACCCACATTTTTCAGTGTTATCAAGAAACAAAGAAACATGAAGAAGGCCAAACCAACAGAAAGGATGGTGTCGAGGAAACACTCCCCTGCAAAAAAGAACACAAAGTCAAAAATGCAGGCCTCACCACTCCACACTGTTAAACCACCAGGACGGCAACCTTTCTTGGAGAAAGAAGGACTAGAAATGGAGAGAAGGAAGCATCTAAGGTGCTGATCAAATGCCACCTCCTGACCCAGGCTAGGTTCCACAGTTTCCCAGGTGTGAAAATACATTCAGCTATATACTTGTGGTATCTCCTTTCTGTATAAATAACTATACTTTCAAAATTTTTTAAAAATCAATATGCCTAAAGTCTAGAAAATTATAGCCTGAGAAACACATAAGAGAAAATTTACAAACAAAGCAAGTTTTTGTTTTTTAAAGATGGGGAAGAGAGTATAATAAATGCCATTGTTGAGTCAGGAAGGGTAAGGGTGACATTTTGATTGGTTTTGTCTGTTCCTCCTTAAGGTCCACTCCTCTCACGTGCTCTAGTTATGCTGTTCAGCTCAAGTGGTGGTGGGTTTATGGGGGACCTTGGTTCACCTGTCCACCTTCCCATCAGTGATCAATTAACTATGACAACCAGGTTAGACGACAGAGTCAGAAGCACATGACCCAGGTGGACCCATCCTATCTGGAACATTCACTACAGCAATAGGGAAATATACCCCCTTCCTCCGGATCCTGAAGATCAAATCAGGGAAAGGAGGTGATTAGTACTGAAGAGTGTACAGAGACGGGGAAACAGGGAGTCCAAGACCAGGCGGCATTTCCTGAACATCTGAACCCAGCCGTCTGTAACCGTGAACCACACTCATTTTTGTAGGCTAACACATCCTTTTCTGTGTGGGCTTCTTTGAGTTGCTTAGGTTTTTGTTACCCATAACTGAAAGAGTCTAGTCTAACACAAAACCTGAAAGAAGGACTGACCTGAGTACAGGGTAACTTAAAAGGCGAACCTTTTCATTTGTGATCATCGGGAACAGAGAAGCTAAGTGTTCTCTCTGAACCCACAAGCTAGTTCCTTCTGAGTTCACTGCCTTAATAATTGCTTTCTCCTGTTGGATCAACTAAAGAAGGAAAAACCACCAAGCTGGTGGGGAAAGAAGGATGGAAGAGTAAGTGGCATATTTAAATCTCTTCAAATCTCTTTTGAAAACTCAATTTTACTGCTTTAACATGCTTTCTCCTGAACAGTTAAGATCCAAGAAATTCTCAACAAGGGTAATTTACTGAATTTCAGTAAAGAATATAGACTCTATTTTATAACAGAAAAGACTTCAGAAAATTTTCATAATAGATATATCTGAATTTTTAATAGTGCTTTCCCCTTGACTCCAGATTAAGATGGATAGGAACTTCAAAAAGCCTCCTTTTCTACTAATTTTACAGGGACAAAATATAGATGAGACATCAACAGGCAAAACTGATTTCAAATTTAGGATATGAATCTCTGTGGTGAGTAGGACTTACGCCAGGATACAAAAGGGGTACAGGGCCAGGGACACAGCTCAGTGGCACAAGTGCCTGCCTGGCAAGAGCATGGTCCTGAGTATGGCTCCTGGTACAAAAAAAAAAAAAAAAAAGATTGGTCCAACATAGTATACACATCAATAAGGCAAAGGAAAAAGATGACCATTTCAGTTGATACAGAAAAATGCATTTGACAAAATCCAACTCCTTTTCATGATGAAAGCATCCATAACCTAGAAATACAAGAGAACATCCCCAATATGATAAAGAGCATCTATGAAAATCAGTAATTAAAGTGATATAATGGTAAAAGACTAAAAGCTTTGCTCATATCATCAGGAATGAGACAAGGATGCCTACCTTTGAAATATTCTCCACTGTACTGAAGTTCTAGCCAGGGCATTAGGCAAGAAAAATAAATAAAAAGTATTCAAATTGAAGTGGAAAACATAAAACTAACTTCATGGATAACATAATCCTATATACAGAAATCCCAAAGAATTCACAGTAAAAGCAAATAGAGCTAAGCAGCAAATTCAACAAGATGGTGAGTAAAGATCAACGCACAAAAAACAGTGGAATCTATATACACAACAGGAAAGAACAATCTGAAGAAAAAAAATGTATTTAAATTCAACTTACAATAGCATTCAACATAACAGAACACCTAGAAATAAATTTAACCCATGAGAAAAAAAGACTCATTCACTGAAAACTACAAAACATTGCTAAAAAGAAATCAAAGAAGATGGTTACAAATAGAAACCGTCTATTCAACAGATTGGAAGACTTAAAACATGTACAGAGTTAACACAATTCTGAGCAAATTTCTAACTGCTTTTTTTTTTAACACAAATGGAAAAGGTCATTCTCAAATTTAGAAACATAAATTTAAACTATGTTAACATTGCAAAGGCCCTAAATTATTGTTAAAATGACACTGAAGAAGAAGAAAAAATTCTCATAGGGGTTCATCAATTTTAAAAAGCTAGGAGTTAGAACATTAAAAAAGGAGACGGTCAAATCACCACTACGCATTTAAAACATAGCTTTGAATCTCGCCAGCCTAGCACTACACTGCACTTTGCACTAACCTAGGCAGTACTGTAAAGAGAAGTAGAAAATACTTCCATAGCATCTTCTGAGTTAGCAATACTGTAAATAACTCAAATAAAATTTAGATTTATATTTTCATACCTGAAATTCAACAATGACTTGCTTTCCTTTACCAAACCATGATACAAATCTTCCTCACATATCTGTCCATTCCCAAGTACACCAGGTTATCCTTTAGGTTTCCAACTCTGAATCAAAGCAACAAACCAACAATCCCAGCTGCTCTCCACAGCACTCAAGTATACCCTGCATACACAGAGATGAGTCCCGTTTACAGAGCCTACACATTCTAGAAGCAACCCTTCAGAGAATGGGTGAGCTCCTACTGGCTATGTCTTGGACAAATCACTTAGTTTATATTAAGTCTTAGTTCTCTTCCCCTGAAAGAACCCTTCAATTTGGAGCCAATCTAAGCAACTCAAAAGAAACCACAAAGTACCTGTGGGTTTCTTATCTCATCAGGAGGCACAGACAAAACCCAGTTAGCCACTGATTGACGCAGTACTTCAACATACAAGGCTACAGATTTTGAAAAATGACACTACAGATCTGCTGCTTCTCCATTTAAAAAGAGTGAAGGTGTCAGAAGTAACATGGCCTCCCTTGAGACACAATGTGCATTTGGAAAGTCCAGGATTAAAATCCTGGCTCTAATCTTATTTTGTCCTCAAGAAAATCACTTCCTTTATGTAAGTCTTAGTTTCCTCCATCTGTAAAATGGGGATTGCAATATCTACCTTACAGATATAACAAACCAATGATTTTGGCACCTGGAACAAACTATATAAAACCAGCTCTCAAATCAATTCTGCAATTCATAATGTGGCACACAGATGGGTGTTACTAACAATGCTCACCATCTGGTAGCTTCCTATTTTAAATAATTATTCTTGCTAAGTAGGTGCCAACTTTTAGAATCATTATATTAAATGTTTGCACCCTCCCGATTTTGGTATCCTTAGACAAAGCCCAGTATGACCAGCCATAGCTACACTCTTAGGAGATTATTCTGGAGATTCAAAATAACAAAAGAAAAACATTTTGTGCAGCAACAGGAGTATGACAGATATCAAGTCATTATTATTTA